TACTATAGTATGTGGAATAGAAAAGGCAGAGGTCACAAGTGTTACCATAGTAGGTAGAATAGGCAGAGGTCACAAGTGTTGCAATAAATTTTGGTTTTCCGATATCCCCTTTGCGGAAGACAACAGAAAACCTCCAAAATCTGAAGGAAGGCCGCACATTTGTCGCCTCGATCATCATGGCTGTCGATTTTCTCCAGCCTGGAGACAGAACATGTACAGTGCCTTCCTCACTTGGGCGATCAACGTTCAATATTTAAGCCAAAAGTGAGGTATTGCCAAGCAAGGCGCTAGGAAAGAGAATATCCCAAATACAGCAATGGTTGCAGCAGATTGATTTTGGTAGCTTTTGTGTTCCCAAGTAGAGGGCACAAAAGCAAATCCCAAATTCTGCATGGGGGTTACCACATAAGTCGCCTTTTATGATACACTTTTACAATACACTTTTACACACTTTTACGATCCCCGATCTGCAGGGTGTTCTATGTGGTGCCTCTAGATCTCTAGATAGGCTCTGAATAAGGAAAGTACAATAGGATAAAGTTGACAGTATGAGGGGAACATGATGTTTAATGCCCGTCATTCAATCAGACACGATGTTATATAGAGATGGTGTAAAATAATATCTAATATATCTTCACCAAAGCCATTCATAACAAGAGGTGTATCACTCACCTGAAAATGCTAGCAAAATTGAAGTTGAAATAGCCAGAAGTTGCTGTACATATATTACATGGTTAGTCAAGGGTTATATTTATATGCAATTGGACAAAATCCTGTCATTCCCACGGTAGAAGAAGCATTTTTAAGGTTTTACCTCTATTTCCCCTATTGGGCCCCGCCCCTCTGCCCTCCGGGGGGGCCACAGCGACCATTTATACAAAATTGAGTTCCCTTGGCCTAAGGATGCTCCAGACCAAATTTAGTCAAAATCTACTTGGCCGTTCAGGTCTGGTAGCGTTTTTAAGGAAAAGTTGACGGACGGACGGACGGACGACNTGCCAAAGGATGCTCCAGACTAAATATGAGGATAAAATCCCTTAATCCCTACGGTAGGAGAAAGATTTTAAAGGTTTTACCTCTATTTGGCCCCGCCCCTCTGCCCCTATAGGGGCCACACCCACCGTTTATACAAAATTGAGTCCCCTTGGCCCAATGATGCTTCACACTAATTTAATTTAGGATAAAATCCCTTAATCCCTTTGGTAGGAGAAGGATTTTAAAGGTTTTACCTATATTTCCCCTATTCGGCCCCACCCCTCTGCCCCCAGGGGGCGGGCCACAGCCACTGTTTATACAAAGTTGAGTCCCCTTGGCCTAAGAATGCTCTAGGCCAAATTTGGTCAAAATCTACTTGTTCGTTCAGGACTAGTAGCGTTTTAAAGGAAAAGTTGACATCTGGCTACTCAGTATTTCAACTTCAATTTTGCTAACATTTTCAGGTGAGCCATACAGGCCCTCTAGGCCTCTTGTTTTCATATGATTTATGATCATTTGCGGTCCATTAGTTGGACATTTATTTTGATACTTTATATATGCTTGTATCATGAGTTTAGATTTTGTAATGTCGAAGAACTGTCAACGGTAATAACTTAATGAGTTAAATTCGTTGTACTTTTAACCTCAAACAAAAATAGGTATGGAGCATATACAAACTTTCTGAAGCTTGACTTTTTACTAAAATACACTAAATTATACACAAATATATACTCAAATATAACATCCACTCAGAATTTCAGAATTGTTCATAACTGACATATATAGGTAGGAACCAGTAGAGTGTGTATAATAATGACTTCTTAATGTTACCTACATGTAATACTTAGTCAATTTAGAAGATTTGAGAGGGGGGGGGGGGGGTCGCGTATCATAGAATATACAATCCAACCTCGTACGCGTTCCACAACAATTCACATTTTAGAACTTTGCTATTTTAGTATTTCAACTTTTACTTTCTCTAACAATAGAACATGTATTATTATTATATAGTATATTTATATTAATCTTTCAAACACTAAAATAAAATAACATAGAGTTAACATATTTTTGGTTTCTTCAGAGACGTACTATACGTCTCTGGTTTCTTCGGTCTTTCTAGAATATGGTGACCTCTCGGTTGTAAAACTGGAAGCTTGTCTACTATGCTATATACAGTCACGATACGTTTGTAGTTTTAACACTTTCTGAAACATTACTGGTTATACATGTACTTTCAAACTGCTCCAACTCCCTAAAGAGACCCGCAACCTATAATAAGTGCCTTTGTCACAGCTAGCTATATAGACACCTGTCGTGACTGAGAAAAAATACTAATACACTTAAAATAGAAATGTAATGAACTCGTCCATGGCGAAAATACATATATTTTTTAGTTTCTAACTGCTGTAACATCGGCGGTATTTGGTGGATTTGAGCATACATGGTCTTAAATTTAAGGAGAAGAACCAGTCTTCAAATCAAGCTATAGGTTCTTAAAAGTGTGTGCACGACTTCGGAAGTGGAACTTCAATAAACATTTCCACCCACAAATAAATAATTGGGTTCTAGAATACGTAATAACAATATCTGTTTACGTATCGCAACCCACTAGATACCGCACCCCCTTATAGTAATATATAATTACAATTATTTATTATCAAAGTGATGTTCGATACCTAAATACATCACATATATTCCAGAACCCGAGCACCTGTGGTCTAATATAAAAAAAAAAAGTAATTGTGTTGAAAATGTATTGGTTGAAATTAAAATAACAATAACTTTAGAAACACTCTTCTATAATAAGTGTGCCATTTTTTTTTGAAAACTCGTTCATAAAATTATAAAAGTTCTAGCAGGGACGTATACTGTCCCTGGTTCTAGAGATTGGTCTTGTATTTTGCCTGATCCCGTATCGCAGAGGTCGTAGTATGTTTTCCTTATTATAAACCCCGGTCACAGAGACGCTTTGAAGCTTTGGGCTAACCACGACGAACGCAAGTAAAACGGTTCCGGTGGACGCATGTGGTAAGTGTTGTTGTAAGCTTTTTAAATAAATGCATAATAATATGATGATTTTTCATAACGTAACGTATTTGCCAAGTCGGATTCCTGTTACTCATTCTACTTAAAGTTGATTAATATGCACAGGACCCCCATCGTGGTGCTACTGTATTGTTTACAAGTGATTTCATAGTCAGTCAACCGGGCACACAAAGTTACCCAGAATTTACGTATACCCAGACTGAGGTCAGCCAGGAAAAATAAAACAAAGAAAAACATGCTCGCATGGTTACATTAGTTATTGCCTAGTTGGCTCCATCTATCTGTTGACATGGTTGGGGATTGGGGTTGTAAAGCTGTATTAGCGTCTGAAACGCTTCCAAAATGACTATTGACTCTTGTGTTTGAAAGGAAATGTCTATTTTCCATGTGTTTTGATCACCACATTTTAGGAAATGTAATTTCGATCTCAAATTGCAAAACGTCAAGGATATAAACTCTTGAAAGCACTGGTCTGTTGATGTGTCTTTTTTTTGTGAATGACCTGATTCGAGAAGCTGACCAGGGTTCTTAATGGGTGGCCCTAGTCCGAATTATTCTGACGTTTTATCGACTTTTTTTTATACTGGTCTGTCGTCGATTAACATCAGAACTCTGGCCCTCTATAATATGCAGGAAATAAGCGACCCGTGTTTAGTGATTGTATTGGTTGTTTGAGGCATGTTATTTATGTTCATCTTGTGCATAATGAATAGATCTGAAGTATCTACTGCTTACGTATTATACTCTACTATATTCTACGGTATCTTGGTGAACTTTGTGAAGATATCCCAGTAACACACAGACTGGCTCTCTCGCTCGTTCAGCTCTGTTTTCACACACTGCGCATGCGCTACTCCCGGCAATACTTACACCCCTCACTCTACAGAGGCAAAAACTTACCCCGGTAAAGTTGACCCCCCAGGATAAATTCACTACAGATCTTTCAATCCATGTGTGTGAAAATGACGATTTGTTTCTAAAATATCAGTTGAAGAGCGACCCGGGCGCGGGTCACTTATTTCCCGCATATTATAGAGGACCAGAGTTCTAACGTTAATCGACGACAGACCGATATAAAAAAGTCGATAAAACGTTAGAATAGTTCGGACTAGGGTGGCCCTTGAACACCATGCAGGACCCGTATTCATGAAACTGTTATCTTGCTTAAGTATGGGAATTGTTCTCGAGCGGAATTTCTCGTTCTTGTTTTAAATTCATTGATTTGGAAAAACATTGAAGAGACTTAAAGCCAAAAAATGTTTTCAATGTTTACATTTGACATTTTGATCGTTTGAAAGGTTTAACTGAGTTACAAGAAAGTAGATTTGAACACAGAATCCATGCTTGGGTATGAGAACGGCTTCATGAATACGGACCCGGCAATGGATTCATGTGTTACTAGTTGTCACTTTACAGTTACAGGATCCATGTATCACTAGTTGTCACTTCACACTGCCTGGATTCATATGTCACTATAGTTGTCACTTCACAGTTACTGGATTCATATGGCAATAGTTGTCACACTTCACACTAGATCCATGTATCACTAGTTGTCACTTCACACTGCCTGGATTCATGTGTCACTAGTTGTCACTTCACAGTTACTGGATTCATGTCACTAGTTGTCACTTCACACTAGATCCATGTATCACTTGACTAGTTGTCACTTCACAGTTACTGTATTCATGTATCACTAGTTGTCACTGCAAAGGATTCATGTATCACTAGTTGTCACTTCACACTAGATTCATGTGTCACTAGTTGTCACTTCACAGTTACTGGATTCATATGTCACGAGTTGTCACTTCACACTGCCTGGATTCATATGTCACTAGTTGTCACTTCACAGCTACTTGATCGATGTATCACTAGTTGTCACTTCACAGTTACTGGATTCATGTATCACTAGTTGTCACTGCAAAGGATTCATGTATCACTAGTTGCCACTTCACACTAGATCCATGTGTCACTAGTTGTCACTTCACACTAGATTCATGTGTCACTAGTTGTCACTTCACAGTTACTGGATTCATATGTCACTAGTTGTCACTTCACACTAGATCCATGTGTCACTAGTTGTCACTTCACAGTTACTGGATTCATATGTCACTAGTTGTCACTTCACACTAGATCCATGTGTCACTAGTTGTCACTTCAAAGTTACTGGATTCATGTGTCACTAATTGTCACTTCACAGTTACTGTATTCATATGTCACTAGTTGTCACTTCACACTAGATCCATGTATCACTAGTTGTCACTTCACAGTTACTGGATTCATGTATCACTAGTTGTCACTTCACAATGCCTGGATTCATGTGTCACTGGTTGTCACTTCACAGTTACTGGATTCATATGTCACTAGTTGTCACTTCACACTGCCTGGATTCATGTATCACTAGTTGTCACTTCACACTGCTTGGATTCATGTGTCACTTCACAGTTACTGGATTCATGTATCACTAGTTGTCACTTCACAGTTACTGGATTCATGTGTCACTAGTTGTCACTTCACAGTACCTGGATTTCAAGGGTCAACAAAGATAAAACTAAGAGGAAGGTCTTATTAGTCATGGATATTTCATGACTGAGGTACAGGCACTCTATTATTTCAGTACCAAAATATTTTGCTACTTTGTACTTGAATAAGATGTTTCAGTATTCCCAATAGTTGTATCCATATATTATAAGCTTTTTGACACTTATACTGACATTTCATCTGAACAAATTCTGTGATTTGTTTCCAGTGTGTTTATTGTTAACTTTATACTGTAAAATTCTCCAGCATTTTTGGTTTAAAGTTATAAAACAGTAATGAAAGATCTAGCATTTCTTAGGTACTGAAACTAAATATAACTAGGATTCTTCATGACTTTCTTATATGTCATGTCAAAATGGAAGACACACAGGTAGATATTTGATTGGTTTGAAGTATAAAAACTGACCAATTCCTAGACAGATGCACATGCCTGTCCTTGAAGATTACAAAGGACCAACACCTGTCTTCAAAACTTGTCAACTTTACCATAATACTGCAATGTGATTCTTTTATTGCACATAAAAGGATCAAACTTGTCTTTTTTTAACATTCAGAAAGTGTCATCTATAGTCTTCAATTTTGTCTCGACATGTTCCAAGGGTGTAGAGACAATATGTTTGTTGAGAACAGAACCTTTGGTTTGTTTGTTTGAGGTTTAACGGCCTTGCAATAGCTAATTAAGGACATCAACGGGTGCCTAGACAGACACCACTGAACTAAGGGAGGGAGTGGAAACAATAAGAGGAACCCTTGGATCACACAGGCGTATACTAGTGGATTCCTTGTGATCCTCACTAATAGAAGTTACCTTTGACCATCAATATGATTTACTTCACAGGTAGGACAATGGATCAGGAATTATATGATGAGTTTGGTAATTATGTCGGTCCAGAACTGGACAGCGACGGCGATGATAATGAGGACAGTGATGAGGAGCGTGATGAACCCTACGGTGAATATGGAGCTGATGTAAGTTTATTGTGTTGATGCAAGGACTGATCTAGATCTCTAAATAGGGCAAAGATATTTTTGCCTTGATGTACTGAAAGAAATATATTGTAAAATTACCAGATATATACAAATAATATTCCTAAATGTAATGAAAGAGACATCATAAATACAAACAGTTACTCAAAAATAGAAATAGTTTACAGTTGATGTGAATTTAGTGTCGGGAGAACTTTGTTGTTTAAATGCAGCAAGTTCAATATTATCCAAATGTACTGAGTAGTTCTTATCTTTATCATTATATAGACTAGTGAACAAAGTATTGTCAAGTGTAGCAAGTAAAATATTTTCTTAGTGTATACATAAGTAGGAGAATGTTTGACTTGGCAGTGTGTGTATAATAATATAAGTGGTATGTTGTTGTTATAAAATTTCTTTGATGATGATTGTATGAATGATATACATGTCTGTTATCGTCACCAGGAGGACGAGGACATGGATGCTGATGATGCTGATGATGTAGCAGAGATGCAGGTGGTACTCCATGAAGACAAGAAGTACTACCCAACAGCAGAGGAGGTGTACGGTCCGGAAGTGGAGGTGTGTGTTATACCACGCTTTTGTAGGTGATGGTGTTTGTTATACCACCCTTTTGTGGGTGGAGGTGTTTTATACCACCCTTTTGTGTGTGGAGGTGTGTGTTATACCACCTACAAAAGGGTGGTATAACACACACCTCAACTCACAAAAGGGTGGTATAACACACACCTCCACTCACAAAAGGGAGGTATAACACACACCTCCACCCACAAAAGGGTGGTATAACCTCCACCCACAAAAGAGTGGTATAACACACACCTCCACACACAAAAGGGGGGTATAAAACACCTCCACCCACAAAAGGGTGGTATAACACACACCTCCACCCTTTTGTGAGTGGAGGTGTGTGTTATACCACCATTTTGTAGGTAGAGGTGTGTGTGTTATACCACCCTTTTGTGTGTGGAGGTGTTTTATACCACCCTTTTGTGTGTGGAGGTGTGTGTTATACCACACTTTTGTGGGTGGAGGTTATACCACCCTTTTGTGGGTGGAGATTATACCACCCTTTTGTGGGTGGAGGTGTGTGTTATACCACCCTTTTGTGGGTGGAGGTGTGTGTTATACCACCCTTTTGTGAGTGGAGGTGTGTGTTATACCACCCTTTTGTAGGTAGAGGTGTGTGTGTTATACCACCCTTTTGTGTGTGGAGGTGTGTGTTATACCACCCTTTTGCGGGTGGAGGTGTATGTAATACCACCCTTTTGTGTGTGGAGGTGTGTGTTTTACCACCCTTTTGTAGGTGGAGGTGTGTGTTATACCTCCCTTTTGTAGGTGTAGGTGTGTTAAACCACCCTTTTGTGGGTGAGAGTGTGTGTTATACCACCCTTTTGTGGGTGGATGTGTGTGTTATACCACCCTTTTGTAGGTGGAGGTGTATGTTATACCACCCTTTGTAGGTGGAGGTGTGTGTTATACCACCCTTTTGTATGTGGAGGTGGATGTTATACCACCCTTTTGTATGTGGAGGTGTGTGTTATTCCACCCTTTTGTAGGTAGAGGTGTGTGTTATACCACCCTTTTGTGTGTGGAGGTGTATGTTATACCCCCCTTTTGTGGGTGGAGGTGTATGTTATACCTCCCTTTTGTAGGTGGAGGTGTGTGTTATACCACCCTTTTTTAGGTGTAGGTGTGTTAAACCACCCTTTTGTGGGTGAAGGTGAGTGTTATACCACCCTTTTGTGGGTGGAGGTGTGTTTTATACCACCCTTTTGTGGGTGAAGGTGTGTGTTATACCACCCTTTTGTGGGGGGAGGTGTGTGTTATACCACCCTTTTGTAGGTGGAGGGGTGTGTTATACCACCCTTTTGTGGGTGGAGGAGTGTGTTATACCACCCTTTTGTAGGTGGAGGGGTGTGTTATACCACCCTTTTGTAGGTAGAGGGGTGTGTGTTATACCACCCTTTTGTGTGTGGAGGTGTTTGTGGGTGAAGGTGTGTGTTATACCACCCTTTTGTGGGTGGATGTGTGTGTTATACCACCCTTTTGTAGGTGGAGGTGTGTGTTATACCACCCTTTTGTAGGTGTAGGTGTGTTAAACCACCCTTTTGTGGGTGAAGGTGTGTGTTATACCACCCTTTTGTGGGTGGAGGTGTATGTTATACCACCCTTTTGTAGGTGGAGGTGTGTGTTATACCACCCTTTTGTGGGTGGAGGTGTGTGTTATACCACCCTTTTGTAGGTGGAGGTGTATGTTATACCACCCTTTTGTGTGTGGAGGTGTGTGTTATACCACCCTTTTGCGGGTGGAGGTGTATGTAATACCACCCTTTTGTGTGTGGAGGTGTGTGTTTTACCACCCTGTTGTGTGTGGAGGTGTGTGTTATACCACCCTTTTGTAGGAGGTGTTTTATACCACCCTTTTGTGTGTGGAGGTGTTTTATACCACCCTTTTGTGGGTGGAGGTGTTTTATACCACCCTTTTGTGTGTGGAGGTGTGTGTTATTCCACCCTTTTGTGTGTGGAGGTGTGTTATACCACCCTTTTGTGGGTGGAGGTGTGTGTTATACCACCCTTTTGCGGGTGGAGGTGTGTGTAATACCACCCTTTTGTGTGTGGAGGTGTATGTTATACCACCCTTTTGTAGGTGGAGGTGTATGTTATACCACCCTTTTGTGTGTAGAGGTGTGTGTTATACCACCCTTTTGTAGGTAGAGGTGTGTGTTATACCACCCTTTTGTGTGTGGAGGTGTGTGTTATTCCACCCTTTTGTGTGTGGAGGTGTGTTATACCACCCTTTTGTGGGTGGAGGTGTATGTTATACCACCCTTTTGTGTGTGGAGGAGTGTTAAACCACCCTTTTGTGTGTGGAGGTGTATGTTATACCACCCTTTTGTGTGTGGAGGTGTATGTTATACCACCCTTTTGTAGGTGGAGGTGTATGTTATACCACCCTTTTGTATGTAGAGGTGTGTGTTATACCACCCTTTTGTAGGTGGAGGTGTATGTTATACCACCCTTTTGTGTGTGGAGGTGTATGTTATACCACCCTTTTGTGGATGGAGGTGTGTGTTTTAACACCCTTTTGTGTGTGGAGGTGTATGTTATACCACCCTTTCGTAGGTGGAGGTGTGTGTTATACCACCCTTTTTTGGGGAGGTGTATGTTATACCACCCTTTCGTGTGTGGAGGTGTATGTTATACCACCCTTTTGGGGGTGGAGGTGTGTTATACCACCCTTTTGTGTGGGGAGGTGTGTGTTATACCACCCTTTTGTGTGCGGAGGTGAGTGTTATACCACCCTTTTGTGTGTGGAGGGGTGTGTTATACCACCCCCTTTTGTAGGTGGAGGTGTGTGTTATACCTCCCTTTTGTGGGTGGAGGTTATACCACCCTTTCGTGTGTGGAGGTGTATGTTATACCACCCTTTCGTAGGTGGAGGTGTGTGTTATACCACCCTTATACCACCCTTTTGTGGGTGGATGTGTGTGTTATACCACCCTTTTGTAGGTGGATGTGTATGTTATACCACCCTTTTGTGTGTGGAGGTGGTTATACCACCCTTTTGTAGGTGGAGGTGTGTGTTATACCACCCTTATACCACCCTTTTGTGGGTGGATGTGTGTGTTATTCCACCCTTTTGTGTGTGGAGGTGTATGTTATATCAGTGTGGAGGTGTATGTTATACCACCCTTTTGGGGGTGGAGGTGTGTTATACCACCCTTTTGTGGGGGGGGGTGTGTGTTATACCACCCTTTTGTGGGTGGCGGTTATACCACCCTTTTGTGTGTGGAGGTGAGGTGTGTGTTATACCACCCTTTTGTGTGTTGAGGCGTATGTTATACCACCCTTTTGTGTGTGGAGGGGTATGTTATACCACCCTTTTGTGGGTGGATGTTATACCACCTTTTTGTGTGTGGAGATGTATGTTATACCACCCTTTTGTGGGTGGATGTTATACCACCCTTTTGTGTGTGGAGGGGTATGTTATACCACCCTTTTGTGTGTGGAGGTTTGTGTTTTACCACCCTTTTGTGTGTGGAGGGGTGTGGGTGTGTGTTATACCACCCTTTTGTGTGTTGAGGCGTATGTTATACCACCCTTTTGTGTGTGGAGGTGAGGTGTGTGTTATACCACCCTTTTGTGTGCGGAGGTGAGTGTTATACCACCCTTTTGTGTGTGGAGGGGTGTGGGTGTGTGTTATACCACCCTTTTGTAGGTGGAGGGGTATGTTATACCACCCATTTGTGTGTGGAGGTGTGTGTTATACCACCTTTTTGTGTGTGGAGGTGTATGTTATACCCCCCTTTTGTGGATGGAGGTGTGTGTTTTACCACCCTTTTGTGTGGGGAGGTGTGTGTTATACCACCCTTTTGTGTGCGGAGGTGAGTGTTATACCACCCTTTTGTGTGTGGAGGAGTGTTAAACCACCCTTTTGTGTGTGGAGGGGTATGTTATACCACCCTTTTGTGGGTGGAGGTTATACCTCCCTTTTGTGTGTGGAGGTGTGTGTTATACCATATACCACCCTTTTGTAGGTGGAGGTGTGTTATACCACCCTTTTGTGTGGGGAGGTGTGTGTTATACCACCCTTTTGTGTGTTGAGGCGTATGTTATACCACCCTTTTGTGTGTGGAGGTTTGGTATACCACCCTTTTGTGGGTGGAGGTGTGTGTTATACCTCCCTTTTGTGGGTGGAGGTGTGTGTTATACCCCCCTTTTGTGGATGGAGGTGTGTGTTTTAACACCCTTTTGTGGGTGGAGGTGTATGTTATCGCACCCTTTTGTAGGTGGAGGTGTGTGTTATACCACCCTTTTTTGAGTGGAGGTGTGTGTTATACCACCCTTTTGTAGGGGGAGGTGTATGTTATACCACCCTTTTTGTGTGGAGGTGTGTGTTATACCACCCTTTTTTGGGGAGGTGTATGTTATACCACCCTTTCGTGTGTGGAGGTGTATGTTATACCACCCTTTTGGGGGTGGAGGTGTGTTATACCACCCTTTTGTGGGGGGGGGTGTGTGTTATACCACCCTTTTGTGGGTGGAAGTGTATGTTATACCACCCTTTTGTGGATGGAGGGGTGTGTTTTAACACCCTTTTGTGTGTGGAGGGGTATGTTATACCACCCTTTTGTGTGTGGAGGGGTGTGTTATACCACCCCCTTTTGTAGGTGGAGGTGTGTGTTATACCTCCCTTTTGTGGGTGGAGGTGTGTGTTATACCCCCCTTTTTTGGGGAGGTGTATGTTATACCACCCTTTTGTGGGGGGAGGGTATACCACCTTTTTGTGTGTGGAGATGTATGTTATACCACCCTTTTGTGGGTGGATGTGTATGTTATACTACCCTTTTGTGTGTGGAGGTGTGTTATACCACCCCTTTGTGTGTGGAGGTGTGTGTTATACCACCCTTTTTTGGGGAGGTGTATGTTATACCACCCTTTCGTGTGTGGAGGTGTATGTTATACCACCCTTTCGTAGGTGGAGGTGTGTGTTATACCACCCTTATACCACCCTTTTGTGGGTGGATGTGTATGTTATACTACCCTTTTGTGTGTGGAGG